AACATTAATAGGATTGAAAGGTATTGATTGCACACTTTCAAGTCCAGTAAGATAGGTTAATGAGGAAGGAATTCTGTCTGCATAGTGGAACCTTAAAGTTGGAAGCGGAATGATGCCTTGAAAAGCTCTAATAAGATGATAATGATTACATCACGATATTATATATGCGATTGAAAAACAGTGACTTATAGGTCAACTTAAACCGTGCAAACTTAAACCAATTAATAAGACAAAATATTTCATATAGTCTATTACGTCATAGGGATTGGATGAAAGATAGAAAGAGGAAAGCAGGAATAGAAAAGAAAAATGGGATTGGAGGGAGTTTTTCACGAAGAAAACGGATGGCCAATCGCCGATTCAAGCAAATGTAAAGTGCGTTGAATGTGTAATACTTTGCATCGATACGGTAGGTATGAGTTAAGGCTGTAATATAGTTATTTTATCCGATAGGATAATTTAGTACAAACATATTTATATACTCGCGCCCTCAAGCGTGCCACCATATGTCAATATAGTTGACTTGTGGATGGGCAATAAGCTTCAGCTTGAAGATTACATCTTCGGGTCTTTCTGATTGGACCACCAATTAGTATTTATGAGATAGCGTAGGTTTCACGTTGGTACCAGAGTATACTGTAATAAACTTCACTTGTATCATAAGATCGCCATAACTAAAAACGTTATTGTTCGGTCTACGGTATACCATGAATATAGGTTTAATATCTGGTAACAGGTAATATACACGGTGTAACTTTTTTTTTTTGTATAAATTTCATTGCTTCATAAACATCATTGCATTTGATGTTGATAAAATGTGCCCATAGAATTCAAAACTGGAAATTCACTTAGCTAGCTAGCTGTCCTCGATGAGAGCAATTTAATGGTGTCCGTTATCTTAAATTCTTTGTTGTTACATTGAAAATAAGATAAACACGCACAATGATACAGTTTTTGCCCCGTAAACAAAAAGACGGAGGGTCAAAATGGGACGTATTGGTATCGCTAGCCAGCATTTTGGGTCCTGGGACTGTCAGCAAAGCCGAGTTATTATTCTGGGATTCTCCTATCACAATATAAGCTATAGCACAATTGCAACCGCTACCTTATGGCGCTTAAAGACTCCACGAGTTTCGCAGTAAGATTTTAAGAGAGATCAATGAATGTATCCAGCCGATTTAAGTTAACCCGTCGTCATGATTAGAGCAGCGCAATTGTGATGAGACATGTCTTTCGATGTTTTCTTAAGTACGGCCGACACCGCTAATAATATATAGGGGTAACTGAAGCAATATGGAATAACACCTATAGCTATCGTATCAAACAGCTGTTCTCGCGCAGGGAAGTAAATAAACCTAGCAGTTTCTTGAGCCTAAACGAAACGACAATTTATTCGTATCTGAGAAAATATTGGTTGAAGATCTTTACGTTGTTAATCCGTATAGCCCTACGAAATATGGTTATATGGCCCAGAGGCAAGACTACATATTTGATATATTTTACAACCATTTACTGGCAGGTAACATATGATGGTGTGTCCTTTATAGGTTGTATGAAGCCGAGTTTTGAATGGCCTAACTTCTAACGCATCAACAAAAATTGCATATATTTTTCGAGAAGTGGGCAAGAACGATCTGCGCCTCGCTTTTCAAAGCCAGCTTGATCGTGTTCGTGTATGATTCCTGTATACGTAATTGCCCGCGGAAAATTTTGGTCCATTATCGTTCATAACGTAGTGCGCATGTCGGCTTCATATATGCCCCAAATGGAACTACGGGCTATTGATTTGCAAACTTCAGAGAATTCTCAAAGCTTTCGTCAGTATCGTCAATTTTCAGCTCGCTTTCCTTTATTTCGAATATATCTTCACAGGAATAAGTCTATTAGTGTGACGTCGAGTATTTCATGAGACCGTTTTGTCCGATCTATCTGTTCTTCTTGCACTCGAAAATTCAAGTGATTGACGCCAGCCAAAAGAGAATGGTACAGTTAATTTGCAATTATTTTTTGATAAATCGTGCAGCCTCTAGCTCGTAGTGTGACGTTCGAATGCTCAAAAAGCAAAACTAGGACCAACATGGGTCTTAAATGCAAAAAGGTTACGCAAAGGCATTCCCATTATCTAATGAGAAAGAAAAAAAAATACTCCAGTATACGTTATAATAGCGTCATAACCTGATGGTGTAAAAAACTGGAGTTCGTAGAGGGTGTATCACTCGCTAAAACTAGATAATAGGAACTAGATTGATTTCTGTACCTTTTGACTTATATAAGTTTATGAGATTCTCTTTTTGACCTTAACAGGTGTACCCAATAGCAATTGCTAACATGTTTCAGCCGGTCGGAGTAATGATTTGTCAAGGAATATAATCACACTTGAGTCTCGCTAAAGTTGCAGCCATATATCTTTTACAAACAAAAGATCAACTTGAATACAAGAGACTATTTTGTTTCGTATGTTGTCTTTCATAGTTATATTTCAACTTGCTCGTTCGCAATGGAAAGAAACTTCTCAGCACGATAAACCACGTGAATAACTATTCATCAAACATTCACAAAAATCGATTTATTTATTATTATCAAAAACTTATTGTTTAAGCTTGTTTTATGTACCTAACCCGCTCTTCATCCGCAGGTTATCATAGTACTGCGTTGCCCCGCCAACTTCCGGAAATCTAAATGTGTGCCACAATTCAAGTCGGTAGCCGTTCGTTTTAATTTTTGTTATCAACTTGAGCTTGTGGTGTATTATCTGAACAACGGAGACTCGGGCCTGCAAAGTTCTACGTGCCTAATAGAAGTGCCTTACTTTAGTATAGACACCGCCTCAAAGATTTATTGTTTAATAGTTGTCAATAGATTGTACTCATAAAGATTTGTAACACGAGTCTTTTCTGTTTTCTCATATATATGTACGCAGGTCGATTTCGATATAATGAAACAAAGAAAAGTAAAAAAAATATATATATATATTTATAATATATATATTGCGAAAGTTATATATATATATAACTTTCGCACTCAACAAGAGTATTTTGCTTTTTTTGTTTCGACGCATTCATCACAGGAGTGGCCGTAAGTGGGTCCCATAAGTACCGGTAATCGAAAACTCTCGAAAATTAGTTTCGTTGGCTTTACGGTCCACATCAACATCGCCACTTAGAAGTGGAAAAGAATGGTGGAAGGTAAAGGTTTATAGTCTTAAAACAAATCTTCATGTTCTAACTAGTTGGCTGCCGGACAGAGCAGAGTGTCCTTTTGCGCCTTCAAGCCTCTTGCCATCTAAAGCAAAGCAACGTTGCTGGCTGGCTTGAGCCCGAATGAAATCGAAAAGAAAAGCGCACACGGCATCGGGTTCGGTTTTGTCTGTCACTATGAGCCGTCGAAGGCGTGTCTTCGAAGATACTTCCCGACGCCCTGTTCGGTATTGCGAACAACGCAAAAATAGAGGGGAAGAAACAGGTATAAGAGAAATACCGCTAACATGCCCCACCCTTTGTTCCTGCAGAACCTGAACCTCAATGAAGAAGGGTCGAAATGGCGCTTGGTTGGGGCAGAACAGTGGCATACTTACCTCCTAACACAACGGGATTAAGCCCAAAGAGAGGTCCGGAGAGAAAAGGACTTGGGAAACGAGAGCTGTAGTTGGGGCATGTTCTTCGTAGTCGACTATGTCGCTGTATATATAGACACACACACACACATATTATCATCGCTGGCAGATCGAAGCTGTTGACTTTCCCTTAGTTCCTTTTTTGAACCTCTGCTTGCGTGGAGCGTATTAGCTTACCTAGTAACTCTGTCAATACGAAGAGACCTTTTGGGGCGCAATTATCGGCCGACGAGTCGCTATCGGCAGATATTTTTCGCGCAACTTTTCCACCATATTGTACTTTTTCTGAACCTCGCGTTCTAAGCGAACATGGTACGACAATAGGGGCAATAGATATAGCAACGGTGTAATAAGTAAAAGAGTGCGAGCGATCTAACTTTTTAACCGAATTCTTCAGACTGAACTCATTTTTTGAAACACAAGCAAAAGTAGACTAGAAAATGCAGAAACATCACCATGCAGAGTTATTTAAAAGAGTGAATTAATTTGGTTTAACACTCGGATCCAAGTTTAATAAACACAAGTACAATGAATTTCTAGGGAAACATGTTAATAAAATACTACTTAAGAGTCCAGTAAGCTTCTCCGAGCTTGTAAAGTAGACACTCCCTAACGTTCCCCGATCTTCCGTTGTGACGTTGTAGGCAATACGGAATAAACTTTTTAGGAATAGTCACTTGGTAATTTTTGACAATAGTATTTGTGGTTTTTTGTTTGAAGGTAGTAAAATAAAGCAATTAACAAAAATCATTTACTTAATTCGAATACAACATAGCAGAAAATTATGAATTATATATACGCACTTATTCTACTAACCTTATGTTAAGCTTAAAACATTTCTCACCTGTCAATCGTTAAAACACAGCGAAAAGATGGATTTGATGGGCGGATGGATTTATGTTTTAAAACCTTTGACGTTTGTATTTCGCATTTATGAGCTTGAGTGTCCTTGGAATATGACGCTTTGAATTTCTTAACTGTGGTTTAACGATGTTAAGGAGGGTCATGTATGCTAGAGCTCAATCGCTTTGACTGGACTCACCCAGGAAGGCTTCAGTTTCAGGAAGTTTCTCCAACAAAAATACTGGTAATTAGTTCCAAGTCGAAAAGATAACGCTTTTTACGCAGCAGATACGTACATCATATGGCTCAAGTGTCAACGTTTGAAAAATACGTCTTCTGCAAGACCATGTAAGGATCGCATAAGGTAAATGATCTCAATCTCTTATCACTGTCACTCTGTTTTTTTCGTATAATTTATCATGGATAGTATCATTTGTAGAAATAACTATAAGTAACATATATATAATATAATAAATATAAAAATACCATAGTGTTGATAAGGTTAAAGAGGTTTTACGACTTTCAGAGATGTCTTTGCGAGTTATTTTCACAAACAATGAAGCGTTTCAGAGATTTTCCAGTGTGTGTTGTGGAAATAACGTGTGGTGAAAAGTCGATGATCAACAATGTACTGTGTATCATATTCAATTCAGTTGTCTCATTGAACGAATGGGTAGAGCATCGTACCTTACTTACAACCGTAAAACCTTACCGATTCCGGTTACCAGCCCGGACCTAGGGTATTTTCTAAGCTATCTATCTATCTATGATAAAATGCTCCATGTGTGACTGAAGCTGAATTTGGTAAATAGTATTTACCCTGCATTTCTCTATAAGAAAAGTGTTTTCTATCAGAAATGATATGACAGTGACAAATGCGAAACAGCACATTATACTAAACGTATGAAGGTGAATCTAAACATAGGAGGAAAAACTTAAATACTCGACCAAAACAGACGGCACCGAAATCGCAGTTTCGTGCTATTTTATGCACGAATTTAAACTCTGACAGACACCGTCATCGATTCGAGAAACGACGAAGTTCGTCTAGATTACCGATAGATTTGACCATTGACAAGGCGCCCCAAAACGATTGCTGTATATAGTGGTTGCCGGAACAAACTCTCAGCGCTCTTCAAATGGACAATGCTCGAAATGCACAGGATAGACGTCGCAGAACCAGGAAAGAGCGACGAAGGGACCGAAAACGCGGACAAAATAATAGGAGCAACAGTAACAACGTCCAACAGCTTCAACGTCAAAAAGTTTGTTACGAAGCGCTGAAATAGCCATTTACTATATATAGGGTTATTTTGTCAATGTGATGGTTGCTTGGCGGTATGGAATCAGGCGCCCCGACGCAAGAGCGGTCGTGATAATCAATTAGACAATTAGTTCACCATTCTCGGCAACATGTTGTCGTGACAACAGCTCAATAAGAGTGAGCCTGACGTTGCCAAATACTGGGCAGGCAGAGCTGGCCTGCCTATTTTGGCGACCGTCGAGACGTAGTTGATAATAGCAACAAGGTCGTTGTGAAATTTGTTCCTGTCAACTAGCTAGCAAAATCCTCAATAGGGATGCGCGGACGTCGTAGATGGTTCGATGTGTGTGTGTATCGCTTCTGCCTTTGCCACACTATGGTACAGAAAGTTCAGGTGCATTCAAATTGGCCTCCGTAATGACATGTACCATTATTTGATCATATCGTGTAATATGGTGCTCTTTTACGTGAAAACGTTAACCGTTAAGTGATATAGTAAGGACACAATATAAACAAAGCTCGCAGCAATTCATAAGTCCCGCAGTACTACATTTGAAAAAATGAAATAAAGAGATCCGAGTTTAGAATAGAACACCCGTCCTAGATAGACCCCAAGGGAATCTACTAGTTAACGAAAAACGTTAAGTTTCATAGTTCATAACGTGAAACATTGAATAGAATATATTGTAAGGTATCTTTGATGTACTAAATTATTTCGCGATAAGGTCCGACGTGTCAGTCACTATTAGATAGGACATATATCTTAACGCTGTCACAAACACCGCATTTAAGTAGCGAAGGGAGAAGCATTACATTTAAGAAGCGAGAAGCATTACTTTCACGGTTCATTTCAGTGTGTTTCAGTAATGGTGACTGACAAAAGACTTGTTTGCGCCTCATAAATATTGAATCTTACATTGTATGCTCCTTGAATTGCAAAGGTTAGGCTAGTTAATACGACCAAGACCTGAGAATATTTCGTGCATCTCTGAGATCCGAACATCAAATGTAATATAAGTAGTTTAGAAGGTAACTGTTTCCAGGGTCGATTATGGAGGCTTTAAGTGCCTTCCTATGGCGCAACGTGGTCAGATCTGAGACTCACCAATTGACAGGCGGTACGCTTATACTTAAGAACATAATTACACCAAAATATGTCTGCATGAAACAATAGCACTTCAGACAATATACTTAATAATAAGATGAATTTTAACAGCGGTATTTGAGACGGTGCATTTCGCTTTAATCAGGGAAGTCTGGTAAGCCTTTCACGCTGTTCACGCTGGCGGGTATTGCCTGTAGGGCTAGTAACTAGGCAACTAACTTTTTGAAGGTTGTTGGCAGCTGGAAAGGAATTCTTAGAACTTAAGACTAATCAAATATGATCTGGAGATCAATCATGCCGACGCTAGCGATTAGTACGCGATGTTTTATGATACACACAGGTGATCACAGAATACCGTTAGAACGGGATCTTATAATAAGAACATAGCGTTGCTTTTTTTCTGTTCTACAGATGAAACCCCTAACAAACTTTGACTCCAAACAAAAACTATGCTATTCGGATAGGTAAAGAGTAAACTTATACAGCCGAACTCTTGCTTGCTGCCTGTCTATAAATCATTAGTATCTGTTGATCTAAGCACACCGCTGAAACGCTCTAAGGCTGTCATACTATTTTCAATGGAGACACCCATTTTCCAGTTCTGTGTTAAACACTATGAAAACGCCGTCGAAAACAATTGCTTACATAGCAAGCAAGTTCTATCAAATAATAGAATCGTATTAAACCGTAGTGAAGAGTTTATATTCGCATTCATTCATATACTATGAAAAGGCTGGATACAATAGAATAGCGTTTACATGTCCTTCATCTATGCTTTTTTAACGTCGTCGTACTCGAATGTTTCCTTGACTCCGATACAATATGCCGTGAAGTCGGTTACAAAGATAGCGTAACGCCAACCTAAATGACGTGCTTCTGAAACGGTTCAATTATAAATGAACTTACAAACTATCTGCTGATTGTTAGGGAACAAGTACAGATTGTCTTTAAACCGTTCGTTGTAAACAAAATTGTAGGTACGGTATCAACTTCTTAGAAGCAGGCACATTTAGGTTAGTGGTCTCATGCATACGAATTTTCTTCGCAGGGTGATGGCGACGTACAAAAGGCTACACAGGACATTGGTAAGTCATCACCGTCACCTCCTCGGACTTTCGTTTTTAATCCAGAAGATCGTTTTTTTCAAGCCGCTGTACGGTTTGCCTTTGCGTGGTTGACCGCAATCTTTAGCTTCACCGTCATCCAACTCTTGCATAAATGAGCCTCCATATGAAGATGAACTTAGGCGTCACGTGTGTGCTATAATTAATAAACGTGCGCAAAAAATCGCTAAAAAACAAATCCATATTCGTCCTGCACAAGTTGTAGGGCTGCTATTAACTTTATCGGCATTCATTTTGATTTTACGAGACTAAAATCAACTTGATGCTTCGTTGTTCCTGGTACGTAGGAAACACACACGCAATTGAAAGTAAAATATAAATTTCAACGTGCTACCGATTAGAGCATCCGATAAAATAGTCAGCTTTTTTTGACTTGCAATGACGTACTCCTCAGGGAAACAACCATCAATATTAATAGCGCGTGACGCGCTAGCGATCGCTGAAGCCCGACTAAGCCTGGGTCTAAATAAATTCCATACTCGTTTTAAAAGTCTTCTCATCCTTCTCTTTGTGGCTGAAAAACTGTAGCTACAATGTAGAATAGCACGCGGTTAAAGTTACTGAAATATTCGCAAATCAGTAAATATAATAGAAGTTTAAAACAATATATGTGTATACTTAACTGCAATCTAGCTGCCAGCACGAGTGGCTTCAGAGAGGAAATTTATCAGCAATCGTTCCCACGAGCTTTTATCTTTGAAGCAAGATATTTACTTTGAGTACAATTTTAATAAAAATGTTATGTTAGGCCTTTTTTTGCAAGGTATACGACTTTCTAAGCACTCAGAAGCTTCAACTTAAAACGAATACCCATTAATTTTGCTGCTTATTTAATCTCGTACGTACATTACTCTTCGAACTTTGTCCGTACTCTTTCATCGATAGGTGTCCATTCTTATTTGCTTTTATTCCAATTCTAATGTACATATACATAAAAGATAAAATTTGAAATAGATTAGGAACCCGTAATTAAGTTATTCTCCACGGCTGCGTTTCGTGCTTTGTTGGGCAACAACGAATTCTATTAAAGTTATGTTCTGAGTAGTTTTTTTTTTTTTAACTAACAGCGACATAACAGTAATCTCGTATGTATCGTCTCAGTACCAGGCCAACTGAAAAGCCTCAAGTCAACTGAAGTCCGAATTAGACAAGAAAAGTAGAATTCTTCTATCTTCTTCGGGCAATTCGCTCCTAGGTTAGAGTTCCCCTTGTTAAGTCTTTGGGACCTCTTTTGGGTCTGAAGTTTCTTTGGGATAATCATTTTTGCTTCATAGTGTGGTTTGATCTTGAGCAAATGGTCTGCTTGACGGACCCTCTAGCTTGTCTATAAGTTATTACTTCGTTTCTCCGACCACGCTTTTGGAATTGAACAACTTTTTAAACGAGTTGCTACCATTATGCCGCTAGTACTATTGCGAACACTCTACGTTTTAATTAACCATCGTAATACAATTTTTGCCTTATAGCTGAACTTGCTGATTCACATCTGCTCTGGTAACAGTAGAAAATTCCAAAATAAGGTAATGGTGCGTTCATGCAATTGCCTTTGCATGTTTGGCGACCTCCACCATTTTGACTGGACAGCAGCCGTCAAAAAGCATATTTTCTACTCACGCAAACACACCGGTCACAACTCCTCTGCTACAGTTGGCATACAAATCCATATCCTGGCCATTTATCCCAGTTTACCAGCTGTGTACATATGTATATTTTTGGTGTAATTTTATTTTTACCCGTTGTAATGTTGGATAGCACGTTATACAATATTTACCTGTATTTCTTCGCTGATGTTAAGTTGCAGAAATCGTGGCCGGCTGTAACTGAAGTTCAGTTTCGTAGGGTCGTTACTCAAACAGTTCGCAGTTCCATTGTTCGACCGGAAACGCGTCGAGATTTTGTAGCGGGCGCTGTGCACCCTCGACGCTACCCCACACTATTGTGGTCGAGAGGATTCGCGGGTGCTGACCACATGACACCTCGCCCGGTACTCCAGAACTCGGCGACCACAGCGGCATTACTGTCCACTGTATAAACAGCTTTGGCCAACGACACTTGTTGGCGTCGACCCTTCTAATGCCAATGTGGTTTCGGTTAACAACGCTCACGAGGCCGATGCCGACAACGGCGACGACGGTGTTTCCGCAGCAGCAAGTAAATCTGGCACTGAAGTGAATACCAAATATGAATATATGCTGATACCTTGCAAAACTGTCAATGATGTGAGACGTTTTATCGGATCTGTAACAAATTACGAGAGCTTAACTATATTAGTTATGCTAAGCCTCAACGCCAACTTCATTAGATATGTAGCAAATGCTGAATTACCCATTTACAGAAAAATCAATGGATACATTGTTTCGTTCAAATACACCGCTGCTTCGGTAAAATTTCGATTTTACCCACGTATAGATAAGTTACTTTGGAATTTGTGAAGTTAATAAATATCGGACCAGCAGCACAGTTGTGTAATTTTCTACGCGGCTTATGTATCTATACCACCATCGAGACGTAACTAATCCGACTTGGCCGAAATATCAGACCTTGGATGCCTGTTTTCATCATGTGTTCCTCTAGGAGTGTCTCTAGCTCTGTCTGAAGAACGCAAACTATAATATATGTCATATATTATACTGCTAAATACATACAGTGGACTGATAATAAATTAAATATTCTAAATTCAATAGCCGTAAATATTCGGAGCATGTAGAAAGTGGATCAATGCAATATGATCATTGAAGTTCACAAGATATCCCAATAAATCATTCAAACCAGAGGGTCCTATGGGGCAATATTGTCGTAATCCAACAAACACCAGTATATAACTCAGTATTTGCAAATTTTATTTATTTCAATTAAATATTGTTTTACACTGTACTACGTTAGTGCAACTTTCTGCTTTTAAATTGGCACGGCTGAAAACATTAAACTGTTCTAGTTTTACAGCGATCCAGGTAATTTTTCATATTTCAATTAATAGAAAAGGCTGGTACTTCGAAATTTGCGTACAAAAAAGCGTGCTTCTAGTGAGCGATATTTTTAGGCGCTTAAATAGAGTATGTACCTGGAATGTGCTCATTAAGGTACACTGGCACCAGTGAAAAGGTTATGACCACCCAATCTTCGTTACAATTTCATATCTACCTCAGTAATTCGTAATCGTTCTCAGGTCAGGCGCAATGCAGATGGCTTTATCAAAAAACCGCTATCGACTCGACGCGAATTTGTCATTTCTGGACAAATCCGTGAATATATATGAGTCGTGGGCGCAATTATTCTACTTACGATATAGGACAAAGTTTTTAATCCACTTCGAGTCAATTGCCGGTAAGGTCACACTCGCTTTATACCGTAGACAGCAGGCAGAACTAGTCGAGTTATCCACTCCGCTGAGGAAGCTAATTGAGGCACTGGAATCGTAACAAAAATATCGCTAGCAGTGGCGAGGGCATTTGAGGTTCTGGTAAGAGGCCACTGATTAGTGCTTGTTGACGCCAAACCCTTTACGCACATAAAGCTGACTAGACTGGACCTTTACCTCGGGTCGGGTTGATCCTTGAAGGAAAACTAAGGTTAAGTAAAAAATCTAATCATATTATATCTAGCAAATAGGGAATGCGGCGGAGGAGGAGGACGGCGGTTATTTGTGCCTAAAAAAAGGCTTCCTTACTGTTTATTGCAGCACATACACTAAGAAACACCTACGCTAAGAAGCACTTAATTACTTTGTTCGATAACTTGTTAATAAAGCATTATGCACGACAAACAACAGCTTCAGATTGACGGGTAGTAATATCTCGAGGGGATGGCAGCATGCAGTATCGTTTAAAAACGACCATCCATGCATCCAAACTCTTCAAACGTTCGCGCTGGTCGTATGCTGGCTGGAATTGTCACAGAATCGCGGAGTAACAGACAAATTCCCAGTGAACGAATGCATCATTAATTTCATGCATTTTTGGTCCTTGCAAATCTGCTAGTGACAGCTTACAGCTGATAAGCTCCGTATCCACCGAACTAGGCACTAGGGTCCATAAAAAATACATAAAAAAATTCAATAATGTTGTCACGCTCAGCATCCCTAAAGACGACGAGTTTATTGAAGCATCATGATCTGAATATGCGCTCCGCATTTGTTCTTAACAGTACCCATTAGCAAAATGATATTGCTCAAGCAAAAATTTTCCCAATAGGAAAAAACACAATCTTAATCTACACATTTCAACGCGGTATTAACATCTGTATGTTATTTTTGCGTGTACAGCATAAGTCACTACCGATATTGTTGATTTAGGTAGCTTTGTAGCGAGCTAGGATTGTTCGACGTCCTAGAAGAAGGAATAAATACAATTTCACGGCCGGAAACAGGCGAACAAGGCGCCTTGATAATTACGCTGCGTGCATATGAATGAAAAGCCTTCTGCGCACAGCCGTCCGTCGACCTGCTTTGCTTCGGTGGCCGTCAACGTCAGCCATTCATTTGAGGCTAAGCCAACCGACGGAAGCATTACCTTGTCTCGCACTGCTCAACGATATATAATACTTATTTCCAACAGCCGTGGCGGTCATGGTGGAGGCTGTGGTGGTGGATAGGCTGATAAAGGATTGTGAGGAGCCTGCGCACGGTAGAGCCAAAAATTTGCGCTTTCATTGCCATCAGCTGGTCGCGCGTACTAAATGACGCATTGATAGCTCATCCGTTTTTTACTGTCTTTGCCCATCGAGAATTCTGAATTGCAAAGTTTGTGTCACGTCAATGAGCTTCCCTACCCTGGCGGGCCATCGGAAGATAACCCCACCTCAACAAACAGATCGAATATTTAGGTGCGATCGTGTTTCGTTTTCAGATATAATGAAACTAGAATAGCTTCTGTGCAAGAATATCTGGCTGAAAAGTCCAGTAAGGAATAGAATCGACTATTGGTTGTAATAGTCCACACTCGTGTCTTGCTTGCTAGGGATAGAGTCCACTATCTTTGAAAATGTTCCCTTTCAATACTATTGAAATCAGGACCCCACCACGATAAGACTGACGGATGAGTAACTGAGTTCGAGAAACGAACGTTGTTCTTGTCGTAATAGGTAGATCTTACTTGTTGAGAGCATATCCACAATTAAGTGATATCTAGCTATTATAAGGACCAAATCGTATATATTTGTATGAAGCCGACATAGAAGCCTCTGTTATTTCAATATTTTCAACTCTACAGGTTATGTGGGGATACAAATGATAAACTGTGGTTTATTCTAGCAATGGACTTTTCGAGCACTTTCCATACGCGCATACCTTCATTTTTCATTAATGGTACTAAAAGCTATTACCTACTACGTTGAGTACATACCGTGTCTTTATCCCCTTAGGAAGTAAGTGTCGGTGTAAACATCAATTTAGTTTCGTCCATATATGAATACATTTCGGCTACAAAATCTGTAGCATACACTGATATAGCAATATGGGTAATAGATCGAACATATGGGTACATAATATGGCGCCGAAATTCTGCGACACCCTTCTTATTACAGCATGAAGTGGCCACTTCAGTTACGTATATATGAAACCATACAGTTTTAGTGCGCTAGCATATTCCTCGTAGATCACTGAAAAGTCTTCTTTTTTATCGTTGTGCTTTCGTTAAGCATGTGTATTCGGTAGACGTCTCCGGTGATAAAAAAGAAAAAAACGTTTATTTTTTTGCTTGGTCCTGACTCTTCACAGAGATCTTATGAACCTTTTTTTTTTCTATATCACTCAGCGTATCGTGTCGTCTGCCCGTTTTATAAACGATATCTACCGTGTCGAGAACCGGAACATGGAGCGAACAGATTCAGACTCAGTGCTTTATGTGAGCATCTCTTCAACATCACGAAATTCGAGTGCTGGGAGAACATGGTGTAGTACTGGAGACTTAAGATTTTCACGCAGTTGTGTATTATTTGGTGATAGTATTGTATGGGTAGCTAAAATGCCTGGAGAAGGAAGACGGCGTTGGGAAATGTAGGACGAAAATGGTAATTATCTTAGATTACTATTAGGAACATCTCACCCCTCTCAACGGCATGGGTCTGTAATGAAAGACAGAGTCACATTCATAATTTATTCATAGAACGACGTTAACCCGGCTCTTTCACCTACACACATTGTAGGTATTCAGTTGGTCTTGGCTAGTACGCAAGGTTGAAAACCGCGATATTCTATGCAAGTGCAGACCAGTTAGTTATTTTCCACAATGGCCGCGATGCTCCAGTCACAACAAACCTCATTTGTGCCCATTCTGAAGGGTTACCAAAAGCATTCTGCAACAAAGTCGTCGCTTACGCCCCTGTACGTCGCTTGGTGGACCGCGTAACGCAATTGAACTCTGTGCTTGCTAACGGGTAAAAGTTTAACGAAGAAAAGGGGAATTGATGCCAGGCCGTAAGATGGGCCTCGCTGTGCTAGCGGGAGGTCTTACACAGCGTCGATATGTGTGGACATGATACTGCCAAATCGAACAAACTTGCAACTTATGGTTGCCCCTTTGTACTCTCTGCCAAAGTTTAAATTCGGCTGGGCACCCGCTTTTAGGAATCAGTGTATACATGCATACACTTTAACAAACACTTTTATGATATGCATTTGTCCTGAGGATGCAAATGACGTAGATACGAGCGCTTCCCAGATGTGCGTCCCCCTTACTAGCTACTATTCCGTCGGTGCTTGAGCACCTCAAAGAATTACCACATTTTACAACCGCATTGGCCGAATAAGTGGGAACAGCTAGGGAATAAAGTCGGCAGGTGCGACTTAATCACCATTAGATATAGTGTGAATATGAGTTTATTTACTCAACTTAATTCTCACTTCTTAGCGTGCGTACTATAAATCAGTGGTGTCAGTCCTTTCAAGCATTATACTTTTTAATCAGACTGACGAACAAAGCTATATTTCGAAATATTAGCTTACTACGTAACGCGTGTGACAAGATACGAAAACTGGTCAGTACATGCCAAAAATAGGGTGCTTTTTGTACCAATCCTCTGGAAGTTTTTCAGTGATTATAGTTTGACGTTTTCTGAGTGAGCTCCGCCTAATATCCGTCCCTGAATTTGCTGAAACTACGTTGTTTTCTGCAAATCGAGAACATTTTCTATTGCCATGCATTTTTGACACATGCTTATAGGAACGTACGCTTGAATCAATTAGTAAGCCAATACGAAAAATCATCAGACTCATATAGCATGTCATACCGGTTCTAGTTTACAATACATTTACTAAACAACTGTATTACGTACATACACTTGTTCGTATTGCATTAACTTAAATAGCTTTTGTGGTAACCACATTTGATGATGTGACCTCGGTGGTCGACTTTCTCTCGGGGGGCCAAGCAGGCCTGCATTGGGCATCGACGTTATGCGTCCCGGCTGTGTTGTTCCTTTACAGCGTCATTCGTGAAAATAAAAATCCGTTTTCTTCTGCAA